AGCTTGTGTTTATCCAAATAAGCAGCTTATCTTGAAACGTGACCCACAGAGTTCAACCCGCGACCTGCATTTAATGTAAAAACCTAACCGCATTTTTGGATAAACTATCGAAACATGTTTTCCAAACGACGAGGCGACGTTTTGAAAATGCTGCCAACACTTTTAAGCTGCCTCGAACAGGCTCTTAGTCGTGCGCGCGACGACTTCATTGTGTGCCTCTCGCCCCTTCTATATTGAAGGATTGCGGAATCCTTCACTGTCGCGCTGCTACAGCCGCGTGAGGGAGAAATCAGGACAGTGAAGGACAGTTTGCGACCAAAACTGAGAGGAGAAAAGAGAAGTTCGAAGATTCTGAAGCTCTGTTTGATGCCTATATCGCGGGGTAAGTTGGTGAGTACAATATCTGAGATTAGGGGGGATAATTAAGGATTAAATGAGGTTCAATTAACTTATAACATCTGCTTTTTATATCTTTCAATTCATTAATAATTTATATATAATATTATATATCAAATTGCTTGTTTTTAACACGTAGAATTTTATAAAATTGATTTGATTGAAATATGAGAAATCCAAAATTTGAGGTATATTTTAGATTGCCAAAAAAATTTGTCCGATTTCTTAAAATTGATTATTACATCAGTTACCCGGAAGGAGAGGAAATAAATAATTGAAGAAGAAGCGAGTAGGGAAACCGAACAGATGAGAGAGGAAGTGAGGGGGGTCGGAAGCCAAGGAGGCGAGTTTGCCCTATAAATACTACCTGCAAGAGGGATGAAAATGTGAGATTTACTTACCCAAAAGTCGAAAGGCGTGGAAAACATTGGACCTAAGTTAAGGTTTTCAACTAGCTGACAACGGGGAAGCTTGAGGAAGTATCCGCGTCAAACTTCGAGGGGTTTAGTGCGAAGGAGAAGTGGTAAGGAGCGAAGACGAGCATTGCACATAGAGGAGAGGCGGGAGGTCTTGGCGTTGTTGTCGATCAGCGAAGGAGTCAGTGTTGGTGTCATGCGACTGATTGAAGAATTGAGCTTTGTGTGACGGAGGAAAGAGGCCCCGCGACCATCGCAAGCAAGGGGAGGAAGCGACTACACATTGATTAGGGCTTGATGAGGTAAGCTTTAATAAAGTTAAAGTTAATTAATTTAATATTAAAATTAAGAACACACACACACACACACACACACACATATAAGAAAATTTAAGCGGGATTACATAAAATAAAATAATGAAAATTTTATACTTAAATAACACAAAGTAAATAACTAATTAAAATAATATAAATTCTTAAATTTGTATTTATGTAATACCAAAATAAATAAATTAAATTTTAGTACTATAAATATCATGTTTATGCTATGTTTTCAATTTTAGAATAGTCGACGTTAAGACAAATCAAATAACAAATTAATCGTTATCGATGTGAGTATTCATGTACTTGGTTATGATAAATTTTGTTTCTTCTCGATCAAATACATTAATATGGTTCTATTGAATTTTGTTAATATTGTAAGAATTACCTGTGTGCTCAGTTTTATTTAAATTATCGTGGATATTGAATCTTGTACAAAAATATTGATTGATATGCAAATGAGAATGAATATTCATTATTAAAAAGTGATATTTTTATAGTATGTATGTGCATGCTTGACTTTGATGGAGTCACCCCTTTTATAATACTAGTGGGGGAATGTTGTTATACTCGTGCACATAAATGAAAAATAATATTGATTTTCAAATAACTTAAGTGATATAATTTTTAGACGGTGTTCCTGTGACAGTTGTACAGATATAAAATAATATGATATACTGTTGATATTGTGAGATTCATTGAACAATATCAAAATATTTATGTTGATTTATTAAAAATTTATCGGATACCTATATTATTTTTCTATTTTTCTTTGTATTGCTATAGTTTAGAAGTATGAGTATTTACTGACTTTTTTTAGCTTACTGTTATTTTAAACTAACATTTCAGATTCAATAAAGTGATTAAAATATGCGTGATAGAAATGAAAATATTTATAGAAGACACGAATAACCAGTAATAAGGTAAATTTAAATATACTATTTTAATTTAATTTGGTTAGTGATTATTTCATTTGTTAATTGTTAGTTACAAAAATAAATAGGGAAAAAATTAATTCTCACCGTCCGACCGTTTGTACCTATCAGCCCCAGGCCGGAAGGTGACATATAACATGCTTATTAGGAAAGTAGAGATACTAAAAAATGGAATTTGTTCCAACTTCGTAACCTAGTAAATTTATTTGCGATAAAGCATCAGGAAAATCATTCTAGGACTGGAAAACTAAATTGTTATTGGAGATTCACATATGAAGGTATTCTCCCATTTGGAAAATCAATTTTCCTGTTCTTGAAGAAACCAACATACAAAGAAGGTATGACAAATCTTTTGCTCATTATGATATCAATTTGATACAGACCTTATGACAGGCCATTGTTGATGATTTTATCTTACTTTTTGTCCCATATTATCTTTAGAATGGTTGTTTTGTTCTTGAATCCAATCATTAATTGAGGGCAAGTGGACTGAGATTATAGAAAGTAAAATAAGAGAGAAAATAAGGGGTTAAGTAGCCAAAATTTCATAAAGAGGCTCTTGGTATCGTTGAATTTTGTAACTCGAGAGTTTTATAAAGTGTAAATTCTATGATAGATAATGAGAGCCCGTGGGGAGAGCACAGAAGGGAGAGGCGAGAGGAGAGGGGACATAGAGAGAATAAGGAATATAAGAGGAAAAGGGGATTGCTTCAAAATTATAGGTATCCCAATTATCAGCACTAAACTACCTATTTATAAAATAAGGTAACTTCATAAATCCAACTTATTTAAAGTTTAAATCCTCTAGAATTTTGAAGGAGCAAGATAAATCTAGAATAATCTTTAGGAAAAGGTTAGTTTAGTTGTTTGTTTTATATCAACGATCAACTATTATAAAATCAAAGAAACTATAACAATTCAAAAATATTAGAAAAACTCAAAAAATGCTTGATAATCCAAAAATACTGCTGATATAAATTTTGTACAGTGTCAACTTTCCGAAATTGATATAAGTTTTCCCTTAAAGAGTTATGCATAAGCTTTTTCATTTTTTAAAGTTTGGTTTTGGAGGTAATTGTGATGCAATTAGTTCGTAAATATTAGTTGAGTTATCAACATGTGCATATTGAACACAAGAATTAGAAATGTGGAGGCTTTATTTACAAATATTATTATAATTTACACAAATTTGCTTGATCGCCATCGTAGAAGAGGATAACCAATCACATGCCAATTATAGCATTGATCATATAAAATCAACATCTAATTTTTAAGCGAAAGAAAGCAACAATTTGGAATGCACGAAATTGGTATAATTGATGAAGAATCTTGTTAGAATGCATGAATCTATGGGCCAGTCAGTTTCTTCATTTCGAGTTCCTTATGAATAGTAGTGGTAACAAAAGGTATCTTAATTTCATGCTAAACAATTTGGTCAAGGTTAATCTCAAACTTTGGCGTAAAATCAAGTTTAGGTGTAACCTCATGTTCAAGCTTAGCAAGAGGTTCAAGTATTAATAAGTGATTTTGATAGTCATCATCAAACTTGTGTGGAATATCCAAATCATTGCAATAATAATCTTCATATTTTTTATGAACTTTTAGAGTTCAAGAAATTGTTGTATCATATGATTTGCCATCATAATAAGATTTTGCTTTGGATGGGGATGAATGTGGCAATCGTTATGCATAGGCATCATAATACACATGATTACAATAAAAATATTAAGTATGATCATGCTTTAGTATCATGGTGAAATTCTCTGATGATAGCCGTTCACTCAGTCTTATCAATCGATTTAGTATCGCATGGACATGGTTTTGTCGAGCCCCTTTATCTCACCTACACGCAAAAACAAATTCAAAGCTCTTTTAAATATTTGTAGCATCAATTGCTTGGAACACTACCTCTCACCATTTCTCCAACAATCCAACTCCCACAGACTTCAACAATGTGCCTTAACTTACCATGCCTATCACAGATAAAATATCAGAACATGTGAGCTTGGGGATATCAACATATTTCGGAAGTCATTTTATCATTTTTATTTTTAGTATCCATAAGATTGTATACATTTTGGGTGTCAATCTTATCCTTCCTCGCCTTTGAGATATTGTCGGTCATGTCTAATCTTGTTTTGTGCTTATGAATGATTCAGTGAAACTAGTACTACAAATATTGTATCTATAAGGTTGTATATTTTGGGTGTCAATCTTGAACTTCCTCACCTTTTGAGTTATTGTCGGTCACGTCTAATCATGTTATGTGCTTATGAATGATTCGGTGAAACTAGACCCACAATCCCTATATATTGAAATTGGGTCTACGTCAATTTAAATAACTTTTTCTACTTGTACATTTTCTCTTTGGTTTGCTCGTTATATCCTGAAAAGAGGCAACTTCTGGTTGCTGACTAGACTCCTTAGACGCCATGACTTATTACTCTTCCACGATGGTAGACTAAGTTGATTGGTATTCTTAGGATGATTTATATGGGGCCTTGATCTAGTTTGGAGGCATATGAACTTCCTGTTCTACATAGTGTACGAAGCAGTTTTTTGCATTGGGGTATTATATAAATATCACTCAATCTAACACCTAAACTTTGTACTTTGTTATTTACATTTATACCACCCAAATCTTTCATGCCACATCAAAGTATCACGATTTTAACTTCTAAGAAGTGAAATACATCTTTCCATGCATAGGTAAGATGGCATATATGTAAAAATTAAAGTTTAGGTGTTTGATGTGTAAAGACACAGGAATTAAGTGATATGTATGAAAATCTTCCTTCTATAGTTCTTGCTTATCATGATCAATGTATCTAGATATTGCTCCAATAATTCACACGCATTCATTATTACTACTAGCAGTAATCAAATAGTTTATTACTATATATCATTTCTTAAACCTATGTTCTCTTGGTTAGGGCATTGGCCGGCTCTTTAGATGTCTCTGCAATCCAGCATATGATGTTGATGATGATGAGCCTCATAATAAATGATAAAAAAGAAAAGAGCTGTTTGTGAGAACATTTGATGGCTTCCTCTTTATGTTATTTTTTTAATTAAAATTATATTATAATTTGCCACTATGTAAATGGGATTGTGTTTCCTTGGTTTTGTTAAATCTTTCCATTGAACATAACTTCAGTTATATAATTTATTTGTTTTGATTTTTTTTTTATAACTTAAAAAAGGAATTTTCAAATTAGCTGGAATCAAATATATGGCTGTACTGAATGGTTTGATTGGTGAAATTAACAAAATACACGAGTGATCTCTCTCTCTCTCTCTCTTATATATATATATATATATACGCCGCGTATTTAAATTAGTTTGTCGGGCATATGCTTGTCAGTTGTAAGTCCCCTCTAGTCTGAGGTTTAATTCCCCCGAGTGTAGGGCGTGGTCCTCGAATTATAGGCGCATGAGGGATGACCAGTACTCTCCAGCCATTCTTTTGTTATATATATATATAT